TCGTTTATTAGTATCTATACTAGTTTCAAAAATAATTTTGAGCTTCTAAAGGCAATTATAACATGATGTTGACCCGGGTCAAACTCGGGTTAATTAAATCATGACCCGACCTGAGTCGTTTTGGAGCTCTAGAGGAAGTTATATAAAGACTCCCAAAAAGCTCACAAACACAAAGGGAACAATAAATCCCGATAACAGCGAGACCAAGGATAATAACTGTCTACAATGGGCTATATGTGCATTTAATGCAGATAGACTCTCGGAAGGTAAGTTAGCGCATTTAGAAAGATCATCAGTTCTAAGACAATATAAAGATCTTGTTCATACTCATAACCGAAGTTTAAATATGATTGGTGATCTAATGACATTAAAATAAATTTTCGTAATTTAATTAAATGAAAAGGAAGACAACTGTTACAGCTGATAAGTTAAAGACCTGAACCATCTAATGTTGAATTATGGATGTGGTGTGTATCGACCATTATTGGTACACTCAAAGCTAAAGATAAATGGTTAGCTGTAAATGAGAGTTCAATTCAAGCTACTAGTTATCAGGAACAAAAACCAAGACATGAGGAATTAGAAAGGCCATGATAATTTAGGTAGACAATTCTTTACTATATGATCAGATCTCTCTGATCCTGCTCTTTGAAAAAAAAGCTGAAAAATTAGGCACAACTGTTTTCAATGGTTCAAAATCTATATTTTATGTTCAATAAATAATTATATTTCAATAATTTGCAAATAAATTTGGTATACATGTAAACCGAAACTTCCCTATAATGAACACGAATATTCCAGATAAATGTTTCATTATATAGAGGTTTACTGTATATGTGTAAAAACAAAAAAAAATACTTTAGCTTTTTACACCAGATGATAAGAACTATTTTTGGGTCTTTCTACAAAACTTGTGTGATAATATGACTTGGAGCTTCGATAAAAGACAGATGTGATTATGAATAACAAGTAAACAAGGTTTTGAGCAAACTTGGATATATTCCTAAAAAAGTTTAAGAAGAATTGATTGACATTTTTGGGAACCAAAATAAAGGTCATGTATAATGTATAGTGGTAGGGTTTTTTATTTACATCCAATAGTCAATGACTAAAGTTTCAAGTTTCGCCATAATACCGACATAGGGAACCATTTTATTTATTTAAAACATGATAACAAGAAAATTATGCCCCAAAGATTAAATTAATTTTTGGGTTTAAGAATAACTTTAAAATCAGTTACAACATTTATGAAACTATCAATAAATTTGAGTTGATTTTCTTTCTCATAATATTCGATATCATAATTTCTCAATAAATTAATAAGAACTGAAGCTATTGTAATCCTTGCCATGAGACGACCAGGACAGATGCGTACACCACCACCAAAAGGTGTATAAGTATATTTGCCTATTTTGTCTATCTCACATTCTAGAAACCGTTCTGGTTTGAATTGATCAGCATCTTCCCAACAATTAGGGTTTTTCTGCAATCCATTAACATCTATAAAAGCGCATGTACCAGCTGGCCAATTATAGCCACTAATTTCTGCATTTTCTGATGTTGTCTGGCGAATCAATGCTGGTGCTATAGTGTGATACCTTAAAAATTCTTTGACAACGGCTTGAGAATATTCCATTTTCTCATAATCTTCATGTGTCATTGGACGTTTTGAGTTATCAGCAAATACTTGATTAAT